TTTTTTCATTTTTGTGTAGAAATATGCAGACTTCAATATAAGTAAAACACAAGTTGTAAAGATACAAGGATACAGTCAGCGCTTACAAGAACCCTCCAAGAAAAATATGCAAAAACAAGTGAAATATTTTAATAGGGGTTTGAATACGTTGGATTTATCGATTTTCAAAGGTTTGGTCCAAATCGTAGGGTCAACTGAAGATATTCCTTTGCTAAGGACAGCGCTTACCAAAAGCTATTAAACTGGAATTCTGCTCCCCGAAAATACAAAAGCAAGTGAAATACTTTAGAACATTTTTCGTAAAACACACAGCACGAACATGATCATGATACGGTAAGGGAGACGCCAGACCAATTACATTGCTCGAGTATTTGCTCTCCATTCAATCAAAAACCTGTAACACGGCATTAAAAATACGGTGCGGACACTGTCACGCCAATGTCACGGCACTGCCATACCAATCACATTGCGCGAGTGTTTACTCTCCATTCAATCAAATACCCGAAACACGACGTAGACACGGTCACGCCAAAGTCACGGCACTGTCAGACCAATTACATTGCGCGAGAATGAAATCAGCCAATCAAAATTCTAGGGAACGTCCCGGGGACGGCAAGGCACGCTTACGGCACTGAGCTTTTTACAGACATGCGAAAACTGCTCTACTGGGGGTTGAATACGTTGGATCTATCATTTTTCAAAAGTTTTTTACTCAGATCAAAGTTACCTTGAGGCATTGGAATACCATTTAGGTCCATTCCGTTCCCAATACAATTCCGCCTCTCTCTCTCTCTACAGCCTCTAAAGCCTCTGTTGTGTATGTACTCTTTATTCCTACTTTATTGCGAGTATAACCAAGTGCTCGGCGTCAACCGCGGGCAACCCATGGTCACGTGACATCTCATAGCCTCAACTTGGAATTCCTCACAGCCACCATCATAACTCTCTTCCCCACCTCTTCGTTCCCGCCCCCATATCAGGGGCGTAGCCAGGAGGGGGAGAACCAAATTGACAAAACCGCCATTTGGTTTGAACCCCAAAAGAGTAGAAAAGAAAAGTTAAAATTTAGAGAAAATTTCAAAACCAGGCACTTACTTTTTACGTTTTATTGGAAAAAAGTCTCCTTTGCAGCCGTTCATAGTACGTGTCGGTCCGAAAATCCCTCCCACTAACGTCTGCTCAATAAAGCACTACATTCCTTTCCCATTGTTCGGTCGGAAAATCTTTTAGCCAATTAAATCTTAGCAATTGTCCTGAAGTGACCAATCACTGATTTAGGTTATTTGTAAGTTTTGTTCCAGTTAAGAAAGGATTTTTCCTCCAAAATATGTTAYATGTCAATAATTTCGATAAATATTATAAATAAAAAAGCTTCTTTTTTGAAATTGTCCGTCGTTTGCTAAAATCATTTGAAATCGACAAATCAACAATTTGACAATATTTCAACGCTTCGAGTTATATATATATATATATGTATAATAATTTTTTACAAGCGGTTACTGAAGCTTTGTAGTGAAGCTTTCAATTTGTTTTAGGAAATAAACGTCATTAATTTTTTTCCGGTCACGTACCGGAGCACATAATCCAGCTTGGGCTGCCTGTGGTGAGATGGCAGGACAATAAATCCCTGTGCTCTCGGGAATTGAATTCTTTCTCATGTAAAACGATTGTATATAAGCCTTTTCATAGTTTAAGAATCAAAGTCTAAACCTTCTTTTGTTCTTATTAAACAAAAGAAGGTGAGAAATTCGGGATAAAATCGCATGCGCAGTGGAATCGATTCTTAAACTATGAAAAGGCTTATTCTTGCCATCTAACATGGCTGCCGTCACGTGATTGTGTAATGCCTCTATAGCATAAAATAAATAAAGATAAATATGATGAATAATTCTGCAAAAACTTTGATCCTTCATTTTTCTTTTCAACTTTAWAACCAGCATAACATTTGGGTTTAAAAATTTTTGATTTCAAATTTTTCTCATTGATTTTKTCGATAGTATGCAACCACCTTGACGTTGAAAATTGGCCTTTAAGTTCGAGAATTTCACGAATATTGAGCATCGACAGCTASACATCATATCACACGTCACCAGTATTTGTAACAAAACATAGAGGTAGTTTTATTGTTGCATGCCTTGAAGTATTCTAGCTTTATATTTGCCTGTGGATGATTTCTGACTTTCAAACTAAAATAAAAGTGCKATGTAAATATGCTTTTCTCGTTATACATGAGTTCAAAACGGCGCGTAGGTCCCWAACACACCAACTCCATTGAAGTCAAGATGTCAAGAGAGTCGGCCATGCAAGCTCATGCAATATCTGCACATGCAACTGCTCTCYTTTGTAGCTCCAGTAAAACCCATGAACTTGAACATTAACTTTTATTTATTTACACACATATTAATTGATAAAATTATTACAAAGATACAATTGTTAACAAAATTACAAGAGCTTATATTTTACAATAGTAGTATTAAAAAAAGAAGTAACGAGAAGTGTGTGTGGTTGTCGAACTGAAAAGTAAAAAGACTTTCGAGTCGACAGCCACCTACTGTGATTGATTAATTTTTATTTTTAATTAATTAATTTTTATTAATTTTCATTAGAGTGCACGCACTAAAAC